GCGCTTTGGGAGGCCGAGGCAGGTGGATCACTTGAGGTCAGGAGTTTGAGATCAGCCTGGCCAATATGATGAAACCCCATCTCTACTAAAAATACAAAAGTTAGCTGGGTGTGATGGTGCACGGCTGTAATCCCACTCAGGAGGCTGAGGCAAAGTCACTTGAACCTTCGAGGCAGAGGCTGCCGTGAGCGGGGATCGCGCCACTGCACTCCGGCCTGGAAAACAGTGAGCGAGACTCCATCTCAAAAACAAATAAATAGATACATTTTAGGCCGGGTGCAGCGGCTCATGACTGTGATCCTGGCACTATGGGAGGCCAAGATGGGAGGACTGCTTGAGCCCGAGTTCAAGACCAGCTTGGGCAACAAACACAGGGAGACACCATCTCTACAAAAAATAAAAATAAAGTAGCTGGGCACAGTGGTACATTCCTATGGTCCCAGCTACTCAGGAGGCTGAAGTGGGAGGCTCACTAGAGCCTGGGAGGCTGAGGCTGCAGTGAGAGTGAGATTCTGTCTCAAAAAATAAAAAAAACAGTTTTTAAAATAAAAATAAATGCATTTTAAATAAAGGTTAATATCACGGAGAAAAGTCAACATCTGCGACCCTCAACAAAGAGGGGATTTTTCTGTTGTTTGTGTTACTGTTGTTTGACTCAGCTTCTCAAACAAACCACAGGGCCTAGGAGTTTCAAACATGTTTTATAAGCAACCATCAGTTCCTGATTACAGTAAACAAAAACAAAACACCCTATAATAAAGTGTCTCACTGTGTCTGTTGAGTACAGAGAGTAGGAACATGGGCTCTCCGAGATGAGGATGGATGTCCCATCCCTCCCACTCCTGGCTACGTGGCTTTGGGTCAGAAACTCAGGGAACCATCTTCTTTATTCACAAGACAGAGAAAGCGCTGGGCTCTGCCTCACAGGGTTTCTCTGGAAATGAAGATTCTGCATAGGAAGAGCTAGTGAACAGTGAGTGCTGCTTACGGAGTGCTCGGTGAACGTCGGCCACGTGGGCCACAAACGGGGCGAATGCCGTCCCTCCCATCTTTCTCTCCTTCTTCCTCCTCCTTTTTCCTTCCTTCCTTCCTTCCCTTCTTTCCCTCTTTTTTTTTTTTGAGACTGAGTCTCGCTTTGTCACCCAGGCTGGAGTACGGTGACTCATCTCAGCTCACTGCAACCTCCACCTCCTGAGTTCAAGCGATTCTCCTGTCTCGGTCTCCCAAGCAGCTGGGATTACAGACATGCACCACCGCACCCGGCTGATTTTTGTATTTTCAGTAGAGACGGGGACTCGCCATGTTGGCCAGGCTGGTCTGGAACTCCTGGCCTCATGTGATCCGTCCACCTTGGTCTCCCAAAGTGCTGGAATTACAGGTGTAAGCCACCACGCCTGGCCCAGGACAGCTTCCTGAGAGCTGGCCACCCTTGTGCCCTGACTCCAGGGCCCTGCACGCTCAGAGGACTATGTCTCCGCTGCAGTCAAGCAGGAAGAGTTGAAAGTGGTGAGCACAGATTGGAGGTGTAGGAGCTGACTCCGCCCCCAAACCCCTATGAGGACAGACACTTATCAAAAGCTGTCATGACCATCACCTTACACAGCTGCACATCAACTAAAACCAAAAGGCTCTTTGAACTCAGCTTACAGTCTGACAACATAAGCTGGGCAGGTTTTGGCTTATCACACAGACATCAGAGGATGCAAAGGGGTCAGCGACACCCCTGGGTCTGCCTCTTGACATGACGGGCCTGGAGCTGGTCATTCACACTTCAGCTGTCGGTGCCATCAGCGACAGGGAGGTTATTAATCTGCCGCCTCTCTCGTTGGGAGGTGGGAACATCCAGCCGAGAAGAGGCCTCATCAACCATGATGAGAACAACAGGGCGAGGCATGGGCCTGAGTAAAGGGTGGGGGAGATCTGCAAAGATGGTTCTTTTCACAGGGTACCATTTCCCACCGTACGCTGTAAACCCCTGAATACCAACCATGTGCTTTTAATGCTCATTCCATTAAGCGCCGAGTGCTCCCGGCGTTCACTGCAAAGAAAGTGCTTCCGGATCCTTCCCAGCTCTTTGAAAGCTCACGTGGCAAGCCCGCGTCACTCCAAAGTCGTGGGTTTCAAGCACTCGTTTGCTGCCCAGTGTCACCGGCACGGCCGCCCCAGCGGCATCATCAGCCCATGCGGCGCAGGCTTTGCCTCAGTGTTTCTGTGCCACCCGAGCCCGGCTAGTGCCCTGCCATTCTTTCCCTGACGTCTGCTCGCTTGTTCCTAAGTCCTCCTCTGACATCCCGACCTCCAGCCTCGGGCACGCGGCTCGTCCAACACGCTCGGGTGCCCGCCGCCTCGTTCCCACGCCCCTTCCTTGCACCTGAACTCCTGTTCTCCGTCAATTCTGCCCAAGGGGAGCCCTCACCTCTTACTTCCTGCTTTGGGTTTTTTCGGGGTTGTCTTGTGAGTCAGTCAGCCTTCCGTCAAATCCTCTGGCTGGAACTGAACGGCAGGCTTTCCACATTCAAAGAATTTCAGGTTAGAAAGGCACAACGGAAGTCAATTCCCACGTGAGCACTGGACGCTTCTTCTGGTACCAAGGCCGGGTAATTACTCAACATAACTTTCATCTCCCCCAGGGGCCCGAATCTTGCTCTCTCCTGAAGCCGTCGGAATTGCACGCTCTGCCTTCTGAGCTGGGATGTGTCTCCTCCCTGGTGATCTAGCCTTTGCCTACATACTTGCCTGCTCTACAAAACCAACCAAACCTCCGTTTATCCAACAGCCCAAGAGAGAGCCGAGAGCATCCTTGGGACACCCAGAATCCTTCTCTTCTCCAAACGGAACCTGCCGTGAGAGCGCTTCTGAGTCACCCTCCTTTGGATGTGCTCAAATAACCTCCTCGGAGCTCCTGTGCCTGTGACATTCCCTCCTAACTGTTCCCTCCCTTCATTCTCTCCCTAAGTGGCATGGCCATGGCCTCCCAGTGAGCTTGGAATCCCTGCTTAATGGGCTGGGACAACACAGAGATTCACATGCAGACAGGGATCTCACAAGGATCCTCACTTCTGGGTGGCCAGCCTGTACACATTTCCTGTTACTTTCCACACATTCGAGTTGGCCCAAGTGCTCACAGGACAATAAACATGGCACCCAGGAACAATCAGGACCCTCAGAGCCGGTCTTCCAACAAGGCCCGTGTGCTGCCTTTAGGGTGCCATCGTCCGGGGCATCAGGCCTCTGTCCTGCTCTGCCTTTTCCCGTCCTAATCAGTCCCCCTTCCTCCCATTTGTGTTTTGGATGCTACCATTCGGAACAGCCACACAGCGTTCCTTCTCACTACCATCGCAGTCGGCACTTCCACAGCAGTGTATCACTCATCACCTTATCTGTCTTCAGAGCAACCTGCAGAGGAGGTATATCCTCATTTTATAGATGGCGAAGCTGAGGCCGAACTGCAACTGGAACCCAAAGGGTCTCACGATTTCATATCTGATGCCACCGTATTTATCCTAGGCCCTGTTCACTCAGAGGTTTGCAAATCTTAGGCAGAGAAAGTTTTCTAAGGTTCAGTTCCAAGTATTAAATTAAAAAATGAGTTACAGGCTGGGCGCGGTGGATCACACCTGTAATCCCAGCACTTTGGGAGGCCGAGGCAGGCGGATTACAAGGTCAGGAGATCGAGACCAGCGTGGTCAACATGGAATCTCATCTCTACTAAAAATTCAAAAATTAGCTGGGCATGGTGGGGCATGCCTGTGGTCCCAGCTACTCAGGAGACTGAGTCAGGAGACTCATTTGAACCCGGGAGGCAGAGATTGCAGTGAGCCGAGAGCACACTACTGCACTCCAGCCTGGGCGACAGAGCGAGACTCCATCGCAAAAAAAAAAAAAAAAGAAAGAAAGAAAAAGAGAGAGAGAGAGAGACACAGAGAAAAAAGCAGAGAAATCCAGTTTCCATTTCTGGCTGTGCTATAAACTCGCTCCTAGTGGAACGTTCCTGGTCCTCGGTTTTCTCACTCATAAATAAGGAGATGGAATCAGACAATGCCTGAAGTCCTCTCCTGCTCAGCTGTCCTCTGTCTCCTGCCCTGTCTCTGCCTTGTTGCTAAAATTAGGGAGAAAACATCGTTGAAATACCTTTTTATTTTTTGTTTGTTTCTTATATTTTTAAAGTTCCCAAGATTAGCTGGATAGTATTTGATAACTCTCTGGCTCATCCGTCAAGGAGTAAAAAACCCCCCAGCCATCTATTTAATAGCTTTTAAGCAGTTAAGTTTCTAGAATGAGAAGATAAATCTGGAAACACCCGCCAGAGGGATCCCCCCTACAAAAGTTCTTGTCCAGAGGAACACCATCTTTAGAGCTACACATCAAGGGAGCAGTAGTTCTAGGGCCGGGCACAGTGGCTCACGCTTGTAATCCCAGCACTTTGAGAGGCCGAGGCGGGTGGATCACAAGGTCAGGAGATTGAGACCATCCTGGCCAACAGGGTGAAACCCCATCTCTACTAAAGATACAAAAATTAGCCAGGTGTGGTCGTGCATGCCTGTAGTCCCAGCTACTCGGGAGGCTGAGGCAGGAGAATCGCTTGAACCTGGGAGGTTGACTCCACTGTACTCCAGGCTGGGTGACAGAGTGAGACTCCACTGCCCTCCAGCCTGGGTGACAGAGCGAGACCCTGTCTCAAAAAAAAAAAAAAAAAAAGCAACAGTTCTCAACCCCAGAGCTTTTGACAATGTCTGGGGACATTTTTGGTATTCACAACTCAGGGAGGGTCCTTCAGGCACACACCGACGGGTACAGGCCATCCTTCAACACGCAGGACAGTCCCCACAACAGTTAGCTGGCCCAAGATGTGAAAGTGCCATGGCTGAGAATGTCCCATAAACAGTGACATCAAAAAACCGCCCCAAACGCTTTCTGGCGTTTCAGCCGAACTAGTCCACGCAAGAGGTTAACGAGGCACGCCCAGCGGAACGAACCAAGGATCGGAACGGCTCTCTTACCGTGCAAAGAAGGAAGCTGCCACCGAGGTGCCTGCAGAAGTCTCGCTGGCCAAGCAGGTGCCCTGCGAGGTGGGGACGCTGCAGGCGGAAGGCTTGTCTGCATTGTAGCGGTTCAGCACGGCTTCGGTCAGTCCCTCCCGGCCACTCTCTGTCATCAGCTGGGAGATCTGACAAGGAAAATGGAGACTGAGCTCATTACCTGTGGCTTGCTGTGTGTCCTGACCACTGATGGCATCTCTCTATTTGGGGGAGGGAGGCAAGAGGGAACCGGGTTCTATCCCACCTGCATTCAGCCACACGTGGGTGTTTAGGGCTACTAGGAGGCTATTTTCCGGCATTTTAGCTAGGTGATACGTCCCCGTTTTCATCAAAAATAATGGAATAAAATTACCCCTTGACATTGTAAGTTTCAATTACGTCTGTGTCTTCCCTCCATTTGGAGGGAAAAACAGGAACCATTATCCATGCACTCTTTGCTGCCCAATACCACAACGGGAACATTATCTAATGCTGGCTTCTTACCAGGAATAGCCCTGAATGCTCTGAAACGGAGGAGTGGGGAAAAGTCATGGTTTTATTAAGGGAGAAGCAGCCCTGCTAATAACCAACGTAAGGAATGAAAATACTACAGTATTTGGTGGTGGCGGTGGCAGTTTGCTGTGGAAAGTCAGTAAAACGGGCAGCATAGAGAAACTAATACAAATAAATATAGCCACGATAAATTACCAATGTTTTAAGGGCTCAGATCATTTCAACAGATTCCATCTTCCTCTTGGTTCATTAAGATAAATGCCTTCCATTTTATTTGAAATGATTGCCTTTATAGCGGAAGTTCCAGTGGATGGGGCTGGGTCCATTTTGCCTAAATCTGCATAATAAGCTGTGAAGAACCAAACTCCAGGGCAAAACAAGGATCTTGTGTGGAAATATACTTTGGAAAAGTGTTAATCCCCACAGCGAATATAATAATCATGCAGGCAGAGTCTCAATATTTGGAAAGCCTGTGACTTTAAATCTTCAGTCTACTTGCAAAAAAAGAAAAATACTCATTTAAAAAAAAAAAAGAGAGAGAGAGAAAACGTTAGTTCAAAAAAAAGTCACCAGTCTATTCAAACCCTTAAATGCTAAGTGGAAAATGTTTCTAATCACCTACAAAAAAGAAGTGCCATAAAGCAAAGGTCCAGAGTAGGGTCCAGTTTGTAACCGAGCGGGCCGGCAGGCCAATCAGAGCGGCCCTTCTGTGAGCCTTGAAAGGCAAAAACACTTGGACTTTTCATGATTAGCAGAAGAGCCATTACTCTGAGTCCATCGACTGGGGACTCTGCTCCACTTAAATTCATGCTCTGACTTGGAAAGCCTTGGCATTATTCAGCAGAAATTCTGCCAGCACACACTTTCTTATTCTCATTTATCTAACGCATTGTAAGGAAACTTGACCCAAGTGAGAGAAACTGGAGAGGAGACCGCTCAGGCGGCTGCTGGCCCGAAGGCCGTTCCCTGCTGACTCAGCGGAGAGCCCGCAGGGCCGCTCCTGCGCCTTCCTTTGCTGCTGTGGGGTGTGGGCTCCTGTCCACCGGCTGCTGCCGTCCCCGCGGGATAGGGCGGGCTGGAGGGTGCCGCTGATACAGCTGGAAAGCTGAGGATGTGACCGGGTACACCACCGTCCCCGCTCAGCGGTACTGATGAAGCTCCAGGTGACCCATCACGCCTCCTGGGCAATGTCCAAACACAAAACAAAACCCCCAAATTCATGGGACAACTTTTTTTTCCCAAGAAGCTACAATCTAAGACATACCTCTGATTTTGACACACAGTGACATGTGAAACAAGCCTGTCTGCCTGGGGTGTTTCCTTTCATTGCTGTATTTCTTATCTAAAATTTGGAGGGAAGGGACTCGGTTATGTGCCCTGCAAAGCCAGAGAGGAGCTGCTGGAAGATGCGTGGTGAGGGGCAAGATGCCTAACACAGAGGCGCGGCGTTCTGGGTGGGTCCAGATTCCCAAGTGTGGTCCAAAATGCACGTGAGCAGCCTGTGGGTTCACAGCTTTTGAAAACGTCTCTGAGCAAATGAATTTCAATGCATGAGCTTCCTTACTAGAGAGCTATTGGTAATCCTGTGCCAAGCAAAATGGTTCCTCTTACTTTTCAAAGAATCAGGGATTAGGCTGGGCGCAGTGGCTCATGCCTGTAATTCCAGAACTCTGGAAGGCCAAGGCAGCAGATCATGAGGTCAGGAGATCATGAGCATGCTGGCCAACATGGTGAAACCCCGCCTCCACTAAAAATAACAAAAAATTAGCCAGGCGTGGTGGCGCACACTTATAGTCTCAACTTCTTGGGAGGCTGAGGCAGAGGAATCACTTGAACCCAGGAGGCGGGGTTGCAGTGAGCAGAGATCACACCACTGCACCTCAGCCTGGCAACAGAGCAAGGCTCCGTCTCAAAAACAAAAAACAAAAAGAATCGGGGGATTAGTGGGCACGAGGCACTGATTTCCCAAGCCTATAAATAGAATTATTCAATAATCAACTGTTTTTGAAAAGTTAGCATCACAGAATGTTTTAGAGGCAGAAGCTATTTCCAACATCATCATCTTCAAAATTCTTCTCCTTAGAAAAGGCATCAGAAGACCAGAGAAGTGATTCGCCTGAGCCAGTTTGTATCTGGGAATAGGACCCGGCCTCTTAAACCATCCCTAGCACCTACTTCCTTCCTCTACCGACCCCTCTTCTAATTTAAAAAAAAAAAAAAAAAAAAAAAGTCTTCCCTTCTAATCAAAAAAATTGTAACATACAGAAAAAAAATCAAATACTAAAACATACACGTCTATCCACTGCCACCATTCACAAATGTTAGCATTTTTTATCTGAGAAAATATTTTCTAAAAGAAACCGAATATTGTGTAAAATTAAACTTGTGCATGTCCCTAGTCACACAGCCAGTATCAGGACTGGGGTGGGGAGGCGGGAACCGGCCCCTGTTCTATCCCACGCCCTCCCTCCTTAGAACCTGACAGCCCATTGCTCGGTTCCTTTTGTGCATTCTCTAGATTTTGTTCTGGTAGGTCTGCAGCGGGGAGAGGGCGTCCCTCTAAATGCCTACTCCAGCGACTCTCACCACCTGCAAGCATGTTCTCATTAGCATTGATGCCTAGTATCCTCTTCGGAGATTTCAGACACTCAGAAATAACAGACCACGCTGTGGCCACGGCAACTGCTCACTGACCTCCCCCTCAGTTTCACGCTCCAGGGCTTCAGTCCCCAGCGAGGTCCTCAAACACCCCCGGCTCCTTCCGCCACGGAGGCCTTTGCGCTCCATGTGGAATGTCCTACTTTTCCTGCAGATCCACGCTCAAGCCTCACTTCCTCAGAGAAGCCTTTGGCCAGCCTGTGCTTCCTCCGCCAGATGCTTCTACAGGGCCTCAACTCTTCCCTCAGTATCTCCACTTTGGTTCATACCATGCATTTAACAGTAAGTCACTTTCTCCCACTACAGGAAAGCCCCAAGTCTACAGGCTGGGGCTGGTTTGCTCACCACTGTGTACCAAGGTCAATACCATGGCTGGCACAAAAGACGCTCAGAACATGTTTGTGGAATAAATCTCAGCGATTCTTACTTTCTACTGCTCACACGCATCTACTTAAATCCTCTTAAGTCTTTTAAGTAACAGTAATTTCTTCAGAAAATTTAACTGCTTTTCTTTTCTTTTCTTTTTTTTTTTTTTTTTTGAGACTGGGTCTTGCTGTCTCGCCCAGGCTGGAGTGCAGTGGTGCAATCTCAGCTCACTGCAACCTCTGCCTCCCGGGTTCAAGTGATTCTCCTGCCTCGGCCTCCTGAGTAGCTGGAACTACAGGCATGCAACACCACACTCTGCTAATTTTTTGTATATTTAGTAGAGCCGGGGTTTCACTGTGTTGGCCAGGATGGTCTCAATCTCCTGACCTTGTTGTGATCCACTCACCTTGGCCTCCCAAAGTGCTGGGATTACAGGTGTGAGCCACCGCGCCCGGCCCTTCTTTTCTATTTTGTTTGATTCTTAAGATATGACAGTCTTTTCTCCCACCCTCATCACTGTCAAAGCATACTGTTTTGGCTCCACAATGTTTGGGGATCAAGAGCTGCCTCTCTTTTAGCCTGCTAGTTCATTTGCTCATTCATTCATATGAACAATCATGTGTTGGGTGCTCGGTATATGTCAGGGGAAAAAAATGCTGAAGATTCAGGAGGCTCTCAAAATGTGCAGACATTTCTTGTCAATATCTTGTGCAAAGACAGTCTGCAAGATAGCGCCCCGAAAGCAACTTCCATTATCTCCGTTTAGCTCCATTTTTATGATTCTGAAAAACGGAAGAGCGAGGCTTGCTCTGGGTAGAAGCAGCTGTAGCTTCTTAATCATATCCATTGTCGATGATTCTGAGAGAGGAGCAGCCCCGTTAGATAAGCTATCGTTTTTCCTGCATACACTGGTATGCAGGCCTTCTGAGTGCTGAGTTTTAGTGTTTTGGTGGATATCTTGCTACCAAGATACTTGTTCATAGGAATTTACTCTTCCTTAACCCTGCAAACCCTCTCTAGGGATGCGGGGCTACAATACCATTGGTTGTAACTTAATCGTCCTATTAATCAAAGAAACAAAATAAGACCTACTACATGAGCTCTGGTTACGAAAGAACCACTCCAATCCAAATTCTGAATCCCCGACCTGTTTTCACGTCAAGCAAAGAATGGCAGTCCTCCATAGTCTATGACAATTAAACAGTCATTAACCGCATAAGGGATGCCCTCCTGTGTCCACCCCTTTGCTGCTGATAAACCGCTCCTTCCTCATAGAAGGTTCACTGGAAACAACATTAAGTTACGTAGACTGGTTGGCTATTGTTCCCATTTCACAGATGAGAAAACGGAGGCCAGGAGAGGAGTCTGATGATTGGTCCAATGCCACTCGGCCGTCACACAGTGAAGTTCAGCTGGAAATAGAGGCCTCCGATTCCATTTATGTCCCTTCCTTCTGCCATCTGACCTTCGTCACTGAAGTTTACTGAATAACGTGGGCCCCAGACAGATTTGGGGGATTATAGAAGGTAAACATTGGTTAGTCTCTGTCCTCAGGAGATTTGGAAGGAAGCTAGATAAAGAAACTCGCAGTCAGCCAGACGTGCGCCCTCTC